TATTTATTTTTAATGTTTTATCTATGGATTTGAGAGAAAGCGAGCCAGAGAAACTTCGATTTGTTGTTCCACTTATTTACATTGATTCTTGTATGTGCCCTGACCTTGGCCAGCCAGGTTCAGTGGTTTCCCTTTAAGAGTAAACATGTGTGTCGGGGGGGTTGGGAGGCGGGGGGGGCGGGGAGGTGGAGCTTGTAGAGAGTTCTACCTGGGGAGGGAAAACCAGGCTGTGGTAGGAATATTTTCACTTACATTTCTGGGTAATGGCCTGTAGAGACTCAGAGGGCCTATAAAATTTACACATCTCGATGAGCTTAGCAGGTTGCCGTGTGAGACACAAAAATCAATTATGTTTCTAAATACTAGCAATAAACAATCCAATGAAATATAACAATGATGGTAATTACAGTAACGTTAACTGACAAAACTGTGCAAGCCCTCTACCCTGAACTACAGAACGCTGCTGAGAGAGACGCGAGAACACCCAGCTAATGGAGAACACCCAGCTAATGGAGAAGCACCCTGTACTCTGGGCTGGAAGACTCGGTGTCGGCAGCTTCCCTAGCAGAGGAGCCTGCGAGGGGTGTGGAGGGAAGCGGTGTGGCGTGGACACTTTCTGTGAGTGCCACCCGTGTCTGTGGGGCAGCTGCTCCCTGTGTGTTTTCTGCTGTGCCACCCCAACACTGCTAGGTCAAGGGTGGTGTCTCATTGAATCAACGAGAATGAAAATTGAGGGCCCCTCAGAAGGAAAGGCCATTGCCTCCAGATCTCAGGAGCAGCCTTATCTAGACTGGAAACGGTGGCCACAGGCTCACCTCACTAACGCAGGGATGGCCTGCCTGGCAGCCTTGCAAACTCAAGAGACCTCAAGTAACCACAAAGGATGGTCTGCAATGGAAACCTTTAATTATAAAGCAGGCTATGGTGGGTAGTCACGTCCTAGGACAGTATCTTCTCTGGCAAAGATCAACTTCGATCTTTACTGAGCCTATTGTTTTTTTGTCTAAGACAGTGGTCGGCAAACTCATTAGTCAACAGAGCCAAATATCAACAGTACAACGATTGAAATTTCTTTTGAGAGCCCAATTTTTTAAACTTAAACTATATAGGTAGGTACATTGTTATTAATTAATTAGGGTCCTCCTAAGCTGGCCTTTGCCAAAAACGTCCTCATTTTATAATAATAAAGTCACCAACACAAAATAATGACGATTCTTAAATTGATGACAAAAATACCTGTAGGATTTGCAGCTGGTTGGAAAAATGCAGGTAACTTTATGCTTCGAGTAGGTACTTTTGTCACCCTAGCACTAACCACTGCACAATGAGACTGCTGACTGACTGGCTCACTCAACTTGTGCAGGAATCACGCGCGCCTCCCTTGCACGCTGCGTATCCTGCGGCCCGCCTGCGCTGTGTCTCCCATCGCCCGACCGACCGACTGACACCCCCCACTTCTTCTAACGCCACTTCTTCAAAATAGACTCGCCCAGGCCAAAAACCGACTTCTGCGCGTGGGCCACGAAGTTTCTTTTTTTTTTATTTTTTTTTATTTTTTTATTTTTATTTTTTATTTATTTATTTTTTTAAATATTTTTTTATTTTTCGCTTAAAGTATTACAAAGGGTATTACATAAGTGTCCTTTTTTCCCCCCCGCCCTTGACACACCCCTACCCTCCCTTACCCCCCAGTGTCTTATGTCCATTAGTTATGCTTATATGCATGCATACAAGTCCTTCGGTTGATCTCTTACTCCCCTCCCTCCTGCCCCCCAACTCTCTCTGGCCTTCCCACTGCAGTTTGGCAATCAGTTTGAGGTGGGCCACGAAGTTTCAATCGCACTGTACGGGCGTGCCCGCACGTGGTATTTTGTGGAAGAGCCACACTCAAGGGGCCAAAGAGCCGCATGTGGCTCTCGAGTCGCGATTTGCCGACCACTGGTCTAAGATAACATACCTGTGTTATGTCAGGATAACTTCTAACTTCCCTTTTTTGTGGACCCCCTCAGGGCAAAACCACAAATTCCCTCATTGTTATTGTTATAGTGTTTTTAATTGTGGATTGTTAACTGTCCTGCACCCACGTGTGTAAAAGAAGCATGTGTCTATCATTTCACTTTTCATCCAATCCCAGAGGTTTCCTCGCTTTGCTTTCTCCCACCTCCCTAATCTATCACCAATGGATTTCATGTCACCTTCTGATGGGAATTTGTAAAACTAAGAGAAAAGCCGCCATTCTTCGGAGCAATGTCTCAATGCGTTGAAATTCTGCTTCCCAGCAATTGATAGTTTGGCTCAAATAAACTCACAAAAATTCTTTACAGGTTTGAATGTTTCTTACATTAACAAAACTTCAGATGAGGACAGCAGAGGCTGCGTCATCAGAGCTGCAGTAGTGGGGGTCCAACTGTCGCCGGGTCCAGCAGAGATCCAAAAGCAGGCAGGGGAGAGGGAGACTTCATGGTAGAAAGGGGGGCTCCAGTGAGCCCTGATGGAGGCTGGGGTCCCACTGAGCCTGGAGCAGGGAACCCCGATCGATCGGGGAGCATTCTGGCTTTCTCTGGTGGGTCTGGAGCTTCTGGTGGGTCCTGAGCTGGCAGCTGAGACAGAAATGGGGAAGTCCATTGGGGCGGATTGTTACAGGGGTTGCTATGGGGCTTCCAGTTGCTAGAGACACGTGTCAACGTAAGAAACTTTCAAAGCTAAGAGAGTTTTTGTGAATTTACTTGAGCCAAACTGTCAACAACTGCAGGGAAGCAAAATTAACGGATTGGAATACAAGTCCAGAGAATGGCAGTTTTGCACCTTATTTATACATTGCAAATCAAGGGGAAAGACGTAAGTGGGTGACATGAAATCCATTGGTGATAGATTAGGCAGTGATGGCGAACCTTTTGAGCTCGGCGTGTCAGCATTTTGAAAAACCCTAACTTAACTCTGGTGCCATGTCACATATAGAAATTTTTTGATATTTGCAACCATAGTAAAACAAAGACTTATATTTTTGATATTTATTTTATATATTTAATTGCCATTTAACAAAGAAAAATCAACCAAAAAATGAGTTCGAGTGTCACCTCTGACACGCGTGTCATAGGTTCGCCATCACTGGATTAGGGAGATGGGAGAAAGCAAAGCAGGTGGGTCGTCTCTGGGAATGGCAGGTAAGATGATAGACACATTCATCTTTTACATAGGGGGGTGCAGGATACTTAACAGTAAAATGGTAGTGCAACCCGACAAGCGAGGGGGTCCAGGCTGCCTGGCACTACTTGAGCCAATTAAGCAGAGACAGGGTTGAATCATATATGAGCGTTTCTTCCAATAATGCCGGCAGCGTGGGAGAGCAGCAGGTAGAAGGACAAAGATTACGTGGGAAAGTAGGAATTCCAGGCATGGGAAAGCAGGCAAGGTATAATCATTACGGATTACAAATTATGCGGGTGGGAGGGGGGTGCCTTGGGGACCAGATTACAGGCAATAGGGGCTGGGGGTTGTGAAGAGCAGGTGCCTCCAGGATTAGATTGTTTGTCTTTCCGTAATGATGGGCAGTTTTCGGGACAGGAGGATGGAATGCACTCTGATGTCTCAGGGCGTCAACTCCCAGCCAGGTTAGAATGTGCTTTCTTTCTTTTTTTATGGTTGGCTTTTATTTTTTATTTTTTAAACTTTTTATTGGTTAAGGTATTACAAATGTGTCTATCCCTCTCATTGTCCCCTCATCCCCCCCAGTCTTGCACTCACCCTCACCCCCTGTTGTCTGCGTCCATCGCTTATGCTTATATGCATGCATACAAATCATTTGGTTGATCTCTCCCCCTCACCCTCCCCTCCCCTACCTTCCCTCTGAGGTTTGAGCATCTGATCGATGCTTCTCTGTCTCTAAATCTGTTTTTGTTCATCGGCTTATGTTGCTTTCTTTAATCAGAACAAAACAATAATGGTTAACAGAGCATGATTAATATTTCTTATAATTAATAGCTAGTCCCCAATATTATATTTCTTCCTCTAATAATAGACACGCACATCTTTTACATAGGTGGGTATAGAATACTTAACAGTTAACAATTAACATAACAAAGAGAGGATTTATGGTCTCCGCCCTTGTGCCCTGAGGGGTCTGGAAAAAGGGGAGTTACCCTGACATTCCAAAGGTCTGCTTTGGTAGATGCAAAAGACAATAGGCAGGCTCAGCTAAGGTAAAGATTGACTTTTGTCAGGGAAGATTCTAGCCTAGGACCTGCCACAAACTGCTTTTAGTCAAAAAGTTTTAATTTAAGACCATCCTTTGTGGTTACTTTAGGTTTCTGAGTTTGCAAAGCCACCACGCAAGCCTTCCCTGAGCTTGTCAACAGCACGTGGCCCCTTTAGTCCACACACCTGCAAGTCTGACTTCGAGCAGGCTGCCTCCTGGCTGGTCTCTGCAGGTGAGGGCTGGCCTCCCGGAGCCGGTGGCCACGGAGTGTGTCGCATTTGTCTTTACAGATGGCCTAGCCTGGACTGGTTCCACATGCAGGCCACCAGCAAGCCCCCGGGTCCATCTCGATTTCTCCTTTCCTTCATTGCCTACGATGTTTCAGGGTCAACAGTAAACCCTCCGGCAACATTACTGGCCCTGCGGGCCTCAGTGACCTCGTCGCCTTGCGCACTTGCACTTCGCGCAGGTCCACCTGTAGGAGGGAGGCTCACCATCCGCTCCATCTGCCCTTGGACCAACTGAGTCCCGGTCCCGCGAACGGCGCCCCGCCCCCAGCGGAATAGCCCCGCCTACGCTTTGGGCCCGCCTCTCACTCTAGGAAGCCCCCCCGCCCCGCGCCTGCGTACAGAGCCCGGATCGTCAGACCCCGCCCAACGCACTCGTGTCCTGTTGCTAACCTCCCAACCGCGCAAGCGCGCTCCAAACCTCAGACGACGCTCAGACCCAACCCGCGCACGCGCCGCACGCGCCGCACGCGCCCCGCGCGCCCCCCGCCCTCGCGCACGCGCAGGCCTCTCCCCTTGGCCAATGGGCGACGCCGTCGCTTATCCGCCGCTTATCTGCCTTGCGTCTGTCGGCGCGCGTCAGTCAGTCGGGGTCTCAGGCTGACGTTGCTTGGCCTTCTGTTCCCCGTGTTCGTGTTCCTGCTCCCGCCGTCCACTTCTGAGCGCCTGACACTCAACCAACCCCGGCCCCGACCCCAGCCCAACCCGCCGGCCGCAGCGCCCTCCCTCCGGCGCCATGTCGCAGAGCGGGACTCCTGGACTGCAGGAGGAGAGCCTGCAGGGTGAGCCGCCGGGGCTGGGTGTCGGGGAGGCTGCAGTGCGAGGCCTCCCCGGGACGGGAGCGGGAGCCGAGGCTGCGCTGTGGGGCGGGGAGCGCCGTCCCCTTCGGGGGGTCTTTGCAGCGGTCTCGGGGCCGCTCACTGCCCAAAGGCGGAGGTCCGGGGACGCCAGGTGGGTCTCCGGGACGTGGGAGGGCCCCAGTTGCCTTGCCCGCGGGGGTAGCTCTCGGGTGGGGCGTCTGGACACGGATCGGGGGTCTGGACACGGATCGGATTCCACCAGCAAACCTAAATTCTGCAGCGAAGGGCAAGTGGAGATGCCACGGTCCTTAAAGACCGTGTTCCAGTTCGTATCGTGTAGTTCAGACCAGAGTGGGTTGTAGCGAGCGGTAGCCAAGCGTTCCGCTCAGTGGCCTGGGCAGGGGTTGTGGACCTCGAGCGGCAGTGCTAGCTCTAGTGACGGCTAGGACTCGCGAGGGCACTGGCTGCTCTTCTCAGTGTAAGAGGTGGGCAGCGTTAAAAAAATGGTATAGGCGTGTGCACAGGCTTTTTCAAGTTCATGTCCCACATGCACTGGAAAGTCACTCCAAAACAAAGCTCAGAATTGATTTGTGGCTTCAAAAAAGAAGCCGGAGGACCGGTTCCGGCTGCTCCGTGCTGCAGCCGGTGCAAAGCTTAGGCGCAGCTTGCCTGGCGCCCCGCGCTGGCTGGTCGAGGTCCCCGCGCTCAGGGCCGCGCTGCTTCCTGGCGCAGCTGAGTGGTGGCAGCCTGGAGGTCCGCCCCCGGGGCCTGGCTCCTCCGGGCCCATCCAGCGATCCGGGGGCCGGGGAGTGGGAGGAAGGGTTGGGTGGCCGTCGACCTTCGTGTTCTCTGAAGCAAGAGTTTACTAAGCAGAATGAGCATGTAAATAAGCTGTAGGAGGACTGTTCAAACCTTCCAGAATGAATATTAAAATCGTTAATTATTCAGATAAAGTTAGTGAGCTTATTTAATTAGCCCAATACATTGTATAGCGTATTTAAAAACTACACCCACATTTAAAAAAATCTGTAATCTTAAATTTTGAAATTGCCTAATTATTTTGTTCGAACTAGATTAAGGGATTAAATCTTTGCTGTCTTTCCTCACACAAGACTCAAGGGGTGTTTTATAAACCCTCCCTTTGCCTTACAACCATCCCTTTTCTAACTATCAGACTGCTTACTTGCTATTTTCCTTACTGGTTCAGATTTAGTTTGGAAGGTTCCGAGTCCTCCCGAGGGGCTCAGGTCTCCCTCCCCTGATTGACACCGAACTGCTGAGTCACTGGCAATGCAAAATGGCCAGCTCACGAATTAAAAGATGGGTTTTTCTGTTTTGCTTATTCTATAAAAAGGTGGTTACACAGGGAGTGGAAACTCATGGTAAGGGCTCTTTGGGCCATTTGCTCCTGTGTACGTGCGGCAGGGCACACGCCACTCTCTGGTCTGTGGGAGGAGCACTGGGGAAGGGCAGCTGCCCTGGAAATGTGAGCCCGAGGATTCCTGGCCTGTCCTCCGCTCTGATTTGATTCGGTTCCCTCTTGTTTACGTCTGACTAGGACTGAGCAGCCAAACCCACAACAGCAGCACTTTCCTCTTTCCTTGTATTGGCCAGGACCAAATGTTTTCCCCGTTCACCTCCTGGCTCATTCTAGTTAGAGCTGTTGACTTGCAAGGTGTTCTCATGCCTTTTTGTCAGGAGATAATACGACTGCTGAACAGCAGGGAGATGGCGTTTTGGCCGATGTTTACACAGGGCGGGGGAGGGGAGGTGCATGGCTTCCTTCCCAGGAGGCCCCTCTTCGCTTGAGTGCATCCTTCAAGAGGGTACCCAGCCTTCCCTGGGAGACAGCCCCACCTCTTCCCAGGTGCTCACCACGGACAAAAGTGAATGAAGAGAGAACTAATGATTTATTTGAGGGGACTTTAGTACCATGCAGTTTGAGAGCATAAGGGTTTCAGACATCTAAGTCCTAGCCCAATTACTAATTTCACAGATGGTCACAATCATCAAGCCCAGTGGGCAAGTGACAACATTAAAGGAAAAATCAGATGGCTTTCTGTTCAGAATCACTATTTCCCTTCTTGGGGAATCACTTTGCAGTCAAGGCTTGTTCCTGTGCACCTCTCCCAGGGAAGAAGCCCTCTGTGACTAGGGTGGTTGTGCCCCTCCCTCCCCTTAGCTGCTCTGCCCCAGGCTTTCCCTCTGGGCTGCCAGGCCGCCTCCAGACTCCCTCAGTTCTGACACTGATCTCACTGTCTTACAGAAAGTTGTTTGGATATTTGTCATTCCCTCTAGCCAATCATTTTCAACCCTGCCTCTCATTGTAGCTTTTCCAAGAGACTATTTGCTGAGGTCTTGCCCTAGCACTGCAAATCAGAATTTGCAGAGTACAGTGGGTTGGCCTCTGGGAACAGTGGAAACGCACCACAAGTGATTCTCTTTAGCCACTGGTGGGACCTGCTACCTGGGGCTAGCAGCCGAGGGCAAACTACGGCCCTGGCCGAATCCTGCCCGTTTGAAATGAATAAAACTGAAAAAAAAAAAAAGACCGTACCCTTTTATGTAATGATGTTTACTTTGAATTTATATTAGTTCACACAAACACTCCATCCATGCTTTTGTTCCGGCCCTCCGTACAGTTTAAGAACCCATTGTGGCCCTCGAGTCAAAAAGTTTGCCCACCCCTGGGCTAGAGTGTGGGGTGGCCTTGTGGGGCTCCATTCCCTCGGGTCTGTCCAGAAAAGGCTGGAGCTGGTGGGCACTTAACCTCATCAACCTTCTTCAGAGGTTGGCTTGCTGTGTCGTTATCGTAAAATACAAGCAGGTGTGGCTGGGCAGCTAGGAATGAGGGCTTGCCTTGATCAGCAACAGCACCTGTTTCTTCCCAGGCCTCATTATGAGGCCAGTTTTTTGGTAGATGATTTTCGACTCTGTGAAACTTTTCTAAGGTCGTGAAGCAACCGTAACGCCATCTTTCTTACAAGATGTAAGTACGTTCATATCATACTTGCTCTTCATTTTCCAGTTGTTTAAAGTCAATAATACAACTTGCCCTTCACTAAATCATTCCTTGGAATATACATATTTTAGACCCAAAGCTTTTGCTGCAGAATGGGATTTTTACTTTCTCAAGGATGCTTAGGACTTTTTATGAGATGATTCTAAAAAGCATATATTAGTACTTGTCTCCATGGAGCCCTGAGTTGGCCCTTGTATAATAAAATATATGGACACCTGAAACTAATGTTTCATGTATCAGTTATACCTCATTTAAAATTGTTTATTTAGTGTTCTCTGTTTACTGGCACAGAGCTCTAAACCCTTGGGAGTTCTTGAATGATAGGATTGTCTTTGCTATTCATCAACAGCCCCTTTTGTAGGGAGTCCCAGTGGAACACAGGAGTCTGCTCATGAGGTAACCCGTGAGGCCCTGGGTAGCCTCAGGGTGCAGGTGGAAAGACCAGCTCAGTGATCAGAGGGTGGAATCCAGGAGGAGGGACTGGAGATTGGGTTATGCTGATCCTCACCCGAGGATATTTTTTTCCATTGATTTTTAGAGAGAGAGGAAGGAAGGGGGAGAGAAAGAGGGAGAGAAACATTCATTGGTTGTCTCACGCATGGGGCCAGGGATTGAGCCTGCAACCAAGGTACAAGGCTTTGACTGTAATCGAACCCAGGACCCTTCAGTCCCAGGGCCTATGCTCTATCCACTGAGCCAAACTGGCTAGGGCTAGAGCCTGAGTTATGAAACCTTTGAGCTGGGAGGGTGGTGGGCAGGGAGAGGCCTCTTGGCGTCTCCTCCAGTTGGCTGCTCCTGAGTTGTGTCCTTTCTGGTAAATGGGTGAACGTCAGTAAAGTTCGGGAGTTGTCCTGGTGAGTGTGTGTGGAGGGTGGGTATTGTAGGAACTCTAGAATGTGTGGTCTGCCAGGCAGGAGTGGGGGAGGCCTGGCATCCCCTTTGCGGGGTGTCTGATGTGGGGGCAGTCTCATGGGACCAAGCCCTTTAACTTGTGGGACCTGACCCCGACTGCCGGTAGTGGCGGCATTGACTTCAACTGTTAGACGGCCAGTTGGGATTGGAGAATTGGTTATTGGTGTGAAACCCTCCCACATGTATCAGAGGTGGTATCAAAAGACTCTGTTTACATCAGATACCATAGTGAGCTGATCTAGTACATTAAGCCAGGCCCAGAATCCGACTAACCTGCTGAACCTAGGAAAATGGAACTGTGCCCAGCATGGGGCCCGTGGTACTGTTCCATGCCACTGCGCCAGAGCTGGCGTGCTAGTTGGCTGAGTATCACCTTGAGTCCCAGGGGAGGAAGGAGGGCTTGAGCTTTTACAATTATGCGTGGGGGTGGGGTGCATCAGAACACGGGGAAGATGGTCGGCAGCCTTGATGATGACACAGTGAGTCTCTGGAAATGATGAAGTCTCTAAAGTCACTGTAGCCTTTGCTCAGAGCAGAGGCCCAGTGGCCTGGGCTCCTGCTGTGTTCATGACAAGCAGCGAGAGAGGCTAGCGAAGAACGTGCGTTGATTTGAAAATCTGAGTGACGGTTTTGTTAGAAGTGCACTGGGAGGCTGGTGTCCTGATACACCTTTTTCTAATATGATAGAGGCTATTGAGGGTCAGTGGACTTTCAGAAGGAGGTGCCGCTCAGTGTGGAACGTCATGAGTGGCTGGGGTGCAGCCCTGTGGTTTAGGACCAGCTGCTCAGTCCCCTCACCTTTGGGAGATGATTATTGTAATATAATTAGTTTGCTGAGCTGCCCTAGAACATGGATTTTTCAGTCTTCTGTTCACTCTGCCTTCACTCTGTCCCTGCTCTACCAGTGATCTAGGGACACACAGATGTGGAGATACACAGACTCAGGGCACAGAATAGAGACTGTCCTGGGCCCGTGCTCTTCCCAGCCCCTGAGCAGAGGGAGAAGCAGAGGCCGCCTTGTCAGTGAATGGAAAAAACTTCCCCGGGTCAGATCACACACACAGATTACTTCAGGTTCACTGAACCCAGGTCTGAATGAGTGTCAGAACAGTGCAGCTTCTTGAAAATAATACAGACTACCTTCATGACCTCAGATTAGGAGGAGGTCGAAAATCTGACTGATTAAAATCAAGAGTTTATGTTCATTGGAAGATGTGGAGTGAAAAGACAAACAGTGCAAGTTACTTGCAACACATTCAGATGGAGAAAGGCTGTTATCTTGAATATTGAGCTGCTACAGACAGAAAGACCACGCCCCCCTTGTGTACACCGACCTGTCATCCGGGTGCACAGCCCTGAGCACCGTGGGCACCACTCACCACATGTGCCGGCTCAGCGGGGTGGAGGGAGTTCATCCAGTTCACGCCCAACACTGGCCTTTGGGAGATGCAGCTTCGCTGAAAGTAGTGGCTTCACTCGAGGGTTCTGTGCTGCGGGGAGAGTGGCTTTTGTGTTACGGTGTGGTAAGCACATGACAGTTCTCTGAATCTATAAAACCTCTCTGGGTAGAATCCATTTGTTTGGGATTTATAATGTCAATTTTTAGTTCAAGTTAGAAGTGCTGAGCTCACTCCGAGAGGACTCAGCCAGGTGACTTGGGGGATGGCTTCCTCTGCTTAGTCAAGTTCAGTCAGAAATCACCTTTGTTGTGTCCAGGGTGATTTCCTCTGGCTCCTGATGTTAATCAAGACGGAGCAGCAAGTATAATACTTGGGCCCTTAGGGTGAGAATGTGCCGCTGGTGTGTGGGAATCTTGAAAAGAGATAGTTTAAACCTTACCATTTAAAACTCAAGCTTTTGTTGGCACCCTCTTCTAAAAGTTGAGTGCAAAAAAGCTCTCCGGTCATTTGGACTCTGCTGCTGCAGACACACGTCCCAGCTCCTCAGGAGGGTGAGACGGGACCAGCAGCTGTGCTGCAAGAGCTGGGAATGGGTGTGGCTCAAGCCATCCGTGTGTGTCCTAGCTCCTCTGGGGAATGGAAGGGTGGACTGTTGTCACGGGTAGAAATTCTAACTCTGCCCTTGTTGTGTCCCCACAGGCTCCTGGGTGGAACTGCACTTTAGCAGTAACGGGAACGGCAGCAGCGTGCCAGCCTCAGTTTCTATTTATAATGGTGACATGGAGAAAATCCTGCTGGATGCCCAGCATGAGTCTGGACGGAGCAGCTCCAAGAGTTCTCACTGTGACAGGTGGGTGCAGACACATGCATGCCACAGTGCTGCTGTACTAGGAGCGAGCAGGCTCGACTGTGGTGCCCATTCCCTTAGACAGCGGCTCCTTGTCCTCTGGTGGAAGGAGGGACCACGATGCAGCAAGGGGCAGACACTGTCCTGTCCCCTCCCCTGCTTCTGCCCCCTCACCTCCAGTAGCTTTGTCATGAGCAACTGTCCTCAGCACGGCCAGTGACTCAGGCAGCATGGCTGAGTCCGAGATCAAAGGCCAGGTGCTCACCAGGATTGTGTAACAGACCCCAAAGCTAGTGGGTGACGAAACCACCACCCTCAGGCTATCCCGTGTCCTCCTGGGACTGGATGCTTGTTGAGCTCAGCTGGAAGGTGGGAGATGGGGCTGGCCCTGGCCTTGTGCCAGTGGAAGGGAAGCTGCTCCTCACTGGCCATCCCTTCCGCAGGGCTTTGCCTCTGATGCAGAGAATGCTAACATGTTCCGTTTTTCCCACTCACATTCATATCATTTTCTAGCCCGCCTCGCTCACACAGCTCTCAGGTAGGCCAGGGTGGCTGTGTAGTATGTGATCTGCTCCTGTGATCAGTCTGCAGTGGGACCAAGTAGAGAAACGTGTGTAGTATGTGATCTGCTCCTGTGATCAGTCTGCAGTGGGACCGAGTAGAGAAACGTCTGGCTTTCTGAGCTGACTAATTATGGGCTTAGGTAGGATAAAGGGTGGGGCCCTCTATCCCATATACCTATGTCCTGGAGAGGGTGTGAGTGGCCCGTGGGAAGGGTATCTGGGGTCATTAGTGGGTAGTCACAGTCTTCTTGACTATAGGTTGGGCTGTGAATGGGTTTTAATGTCTACGGGAGAGCCGGCATTCTCTATAAGCCACTCAGGGCAGCTCTACCATTGTGGTCGAAATGCTGATGGGCCTTCCTCATGCAGAGGAAGCAATGCCAGTTGCTTCCAGAAACTGTCCGCAGGCCATGCTAACTGGTGGGTGCTCGGGTGGTTTAGAGTTAGGAGCTAACCAGGCTGGTCATTTCAGCTCGAGGTCCCTGTTCTAACATGTCAGGCACTGAGCTTTTCTGTGAGAGTGAGTACAGGGTGGTGGCCCTAGCAGATGTGCATCAGTGGCGAAGGCCCGCCCTCCTTCGCTCAGCTGGGCACACAGGAAATGCCTTTAGGTGCTGCTCCAGCCAGTGCCTAGTTCTCTCCCTCCCAGGATGGTCCCCTCAGAAGGACAGGAGGAATCCTTGTTCCCCAGGCTTTGTCTGGCACCAAAGGCTTCCAGGACTTGCAGGAGCTCCTGCCCCAGACACTTGGGTCCCCTCCCAACTGGGGTGCCCTGATGTCTGGTTGGCTTTGCATTCTGGAGCAATTCTAAAATGTTAAGCAGTTTGTTTTTTTTCGGATTCTAAAAAGGAATTTTATGCTCAGTTACAGAATTTTTAAAATGCAAAAGCTCCTATAATCCTACTTTTTAAAGCCCCCTTTCGCTAGTGTATTGTTGCATGATTTTACAAATGTAGCTGGATCATGGTCTAGGAGTTTGGCTTTTCCTGCCATTTCACGTGAGAGCAGCTTTCTCTCAACACCATTTGCTCCACAGCGTTTGCAGTTTTCATTTCCTTCTGTTGTGCCAGCTCGCCTTCAGCGTCTTTGTGGCGCCCTGTCCTCCCTTCATGTTGCTTCCTTGGGACAGTATTTGCTGCTCTTACTGCCACCAGATCTCACAGTTGAGGCTTTGGCCACAGTGTCTGTCTGTTTGTAAAGGGGGAAGAGTGTGAGATGCAGCTCCACGGCCCACCCTCCGCCCACGGACCCGGCTCTGAGATCAGCCTCTGGTCTGATGCTGGGCGGGGGGCGGTGGTTCCTCGGTTTTTAACATTCACTCTCTCTTAGTCTGAAGAAGATTACATTGAGAGAAGGAAAGAAGTTGAAAGCATCCTGAAGAAAAATTCAGACTGGATATGGGACTGGTCAAGCCGGCCGGAAAACATCCCCCCTAAGTGAGTGTTTTGAGCATCATGAACTAGCTTTGAGGCGGAGCCTGCCAGTGAGCTCACAGCTCTTCCCTCTGCAGGGAGTTCCTGTTCAGGCACCCGAAGCGCACGGCCACCCTCAGCATGAGGAACACAAGTGTCATGAAGAAGGGGGGTGTCTTTTCAGCTGAGTTTCTCAAAGTCTTCCTTCCGTCTCTGCTGCTCTCACACCTGTTGGCCATTGGGCTGGGGTAAGTGATCCTGCATGGCCTGCCTGGACAGTTCTAGGTCTCAGTGACTTCCCTTTAAGCATTTTACTGAAATAATGGGCCATAAGTCACAGCTTATGTAACTATGTAAGCAAACATGTCCATGTGATCATTGTCTAGGTCAGGAAACAAACATGACCATGACCCTGGGAGCCCCGCCCCCTACCCTGCAGGCCGGCCTGGCACTGACGCTGCCAGTACAGGCGAGGGCACATAAGCGGGACTGGTGCTGGCTGCCTTAGCCGTGCTGTCTGTGCAGGAGCAGATGGCCGGCCCCGCCTCAGGGCCTGCTGTGTGCACGCTCTGAACACCCGTTTCTGCTGCAGAGAGGTGCTGTCACTCGCGACTGCTGCAGTCCCCTCAGCCGGGACACAAGGCTCTCCTCTGGCTTCTTGCACTAATGATGCAGAAAACACACAAGTTCAGCTACAGATCCTAAGGACCTTTGACCCAGACAGCACTGAGGCACTGGGCATGAGTCTGGGGAGCCGGGGCTGCTCTTCTCTCTGGCTCACCCCAGCCTGTCCGGGGTGGTAGCCTCACTTGTCCTGCTGGGCAACGGTGCTCTATGGCTGCAGCTCACTGGACAGACTGGGTATCTTCAGCTTCTGATTTAGGCTGGTGCCACTTGGCAGGAGGGCTCGAGTCTGAGGCAGAGGGAGACCACAGTTCTAACTGCCTGTGGGAATGGCTTCCTGGGTGGGCTCCTCCATGTCAGCGTGTCCAGATTTATTGTGCCCAATGCTTTTCAGGGTCAGACTCGCCTGGGTGTGTATATGCAGTGATTTCTGGAGCTTTCTCCAGAACTAGCACTTGAGATTCTGAGGCAGGCAGAGCCGTCGGGATAGTGTCTGCAGCCAACTCCCACCTGGTACCTGCCCTGCATCCTTCCTTCCAAAATTAACTTGACCCCCTGGGGCTCACCTCTCCAGCCACCTCCTAACCATTTGCCGTGCCTGCCAAGCTCCTCCATTTCTGTCCCCTTTCCTGGAGTCACACCCTCCTCTGCCATGGCCTCTGAGGTTGGTAGTCAGTACCATGTGCAGTGACTGTGTCCAGCAGGCTGCTGCATCCCTGGACTATAGCGTGCTCATGCAGGTTGGGGAGTCCCTCCTTCGTGGGGGTGTTGAGGGCATGAGGCGACTGTAGAATGCAGTGGTGGGAACACTGGGTAACCGTGCAGCCAGTCTGAGCTGGCATGGGGACAGCAGGGCTCACGGCTGCCCGGCCGTGGAGTCCTGGGTCCACACTCACCTCTTACTTTTCTGCTCAGGATCTACATCGGGCGGCGTCTGACCACCTCCACCAGCACCTTCTGATGAGGAATTGGAATCGGCTTTTCACAAGGGAGCGGGATTCATACCAGAGCTTGCGACATGGCTCACTGAGGCGCGGTCCTGGCCTTGGTGGCTGGCCACTGTATTGATTTGTTCTGTAAATGCTGGGTGCCTGATTTAGTGAGACGAAGAATAGACACTGAAACCACGCTAACCTAGAACCAACCCTACCTGTGGGATCAATCAATGAGCATGTCACACTAATACTACTGGAATAATGTGGTGGTAACTTTTCTTTGACATTATAAATATGAGTATAAATAATTTTACCATGCTAGTCATGATGTATGTATTTTAATTATCTGTAACCTTAATTCAGTTAAAATTCTCCCTATTTTGAAAGAATGAATAATGTTATTAAAGTGACTCCATAGTTTATCCCAAATAAACATGTGGCCTTACATTCACACTGCTGTAGGGCACCCTGTATGTGGATGCAGGTGTCTGTGAAGACCACGCTTCACTGTTAGCTGTTCTGATGTGTGTGTGATAGGGCCCAGGGCACAGGCCGGGCCCTGTGCAGTGCAGACACTGGCCTGCGTGCTGGGGCAGGGCGGTGACTGTAGTGACCACATAGATGATGCACCTAGGACACCTGCTAAAGCACCTTGTCCCCACTCGGGATTGCTGCATTTAGGCTCGTTTGTGTTCATTTTTTTGCGTGCTCTGAGATTCGGCTTCATTCTAAGTAAATCAGTGTCTACTTTAAAAGACTGGAAATAGAAAACAATAAACTTTTGCCAAATCCTTCAGAGGTTACTGTATTTGTATATGGTTTAAAAGGAAAACTATGAACGCTTTAGGGTAAAACCAGGCATAGTCCCCGTTGTCTAATTATTCTCTCTTCAGCATGGTTTTTTCAAGGCTGCCTCTGGTATGCTGTTTATGCTGTTATGTATTTGTTTCACTTTTCCATATTAAATGCAGTTGTTAAAATAAACGTAAAAATTTCCTTTTTAAAAATCTTTTGTTAATTTTGAGATGATTCACAGCCCTCATTGGCAGACAGCTGGCTGAGTGGCATCGGAATACTTTGGCATGTACCCTCTAAGAGTCACTAAGGTCCCATTCAGTCAGCAAGTGTGTCTTTCCTGGGAAACGGGGTCTATCTGTTCCTGGGCTTCTCTCTAGTGTCATGACATTGGCGTGGCACTCAGCACGTCTGGGAAAGGTCAGTGCCCATAGAATTACACACGTCTTAAAGAGCTAGTGACCCCCCATTGCCACTGAACCATCTGTCAGGCACCTGGGCCCTTGACGGGCAGGTGCTCTTGTCCCTGTCACTGATGGCGACACTAAGCTCCTGGTGAAGGGCTGACAGTGTTTCCATAATGAGGCAGGAGACAAGGTTTTCTAGAGGCTTTTCCCATCACGACATCGTTCTAGTGGACAGTTTCCTTAAAGTGTGTATATGTATGTTTGTATATATATTTTTTCAGGTAGGGTAACAGTATTATAATTAAGCTTTTGCAAACAGACCTTTACTATTAATACAAATAACACTTAGTCATTGAATAACAAGTAAACAATACACCATCCAAACAATTTTGGATTAAAATAAATTAAAACATGCCTGGCTGGTGTAGCTTGGTGGTTGAGCATTGACCTATGAACTAGGTCATGGTTCGATTCCCAGTTGGGCACATGCCTGGGTTGTGGGCGTGGTCCCCAGTCGGGGGGCATGTAGGAGGCAGCTGATGGAGGATTCTCATTGTTGATCTCTCCCTCTTCCTTCCTCTCTGAAATAAAAAGGGAGGGAGCCCTGGCTGATTTGGCTCTTTGGATAAGGCATCGGCCTGCGGACTGAAGTGTCCTGGGTTTGATTCCTGGTTGGGCGGGGCACGTGCCCGGGTTGTGGGCTTAATCCCCAGTGGGGGGCCGTGCAGGAGACAGCTGATCAATGATTCTCATCATTGATGTTTCTCTCCCTCTCTGAAATCAATAAAAATATTTTTAAATAAAGGGGGGAAGAGGGGTCAATTAACTGATACTGTTTTTTAATTTTTTTTATTTTTTAAATATATTTTATTGATTTTTTACAGAGAGGAAGGGAGATAGTTAGAAATATCGATGAGAGAGAAACATCGATTAGCTGCCTCCTGCACATCTACTGGGGATGTGCCCACAACCCAGGTACATGCCCTTGACCGGATCGAACCCGGGACCTTTCAGTCCGCAGGCCGACGCTCTATCCACTGAGCCAAACCGGTTTCGGCCTGATACTGATTTCTTAGCTGTTGTCAATATCTATGTCCCCAGTAGCTAGGAAATGAGTCAGTGGCAGGCCATTTTAGAATAGCCCAGTCCGCTGATGGTCAGTCTTGCAGGGGAGGTACCATCTGTCCCTCACAGACATGGCTGCTTGGGAGAAAGTATTGCTGGACTGCTCAGACTGGCCACTGCATCCTATCCTTGGGCTCACCCACCCCCTGTGCGATGAGGTGCAGAGGCCTACCTAGGAAGGTTGGGATAGCCACCAGGGTGGTCCATCTTTGAAGGGGACCCTCTGCTATCAGGTGAACTGCCTCAGTTGCCACCACTGGAAAGGAGATGAGATGAACCTACTGAGTCCTAAGTGCAGACTGATGAACAAAATAAGAGTTTGAGAAAAGAGAATAGAAGATGTAGTATGCTATTGTTTATGCAAAAAGCCAAAGGAAATGTACACATCTCATTGTGCAAAAAGGAATATGGTGTGAATATGCCAGAGATGGGGATTGGCTAGAGGGGTGGGCGGGACAGGGCAGAGCAGGAGATGGAAAGGTACGAGGAGGAACCATACTTTTTGTGTAAATGACTCAGACCCATAGTGATGCTTCACTTATTGCCAAAGTCAAATAGAGACAAGGGAACCTGATGAATGAAACCACGCTGAAGGGGCGGGGAAGGAGGGTGGGGCCCGAACACTGGATCACAATGGGCTGGGCACTGTAAGGTCCAGTGGACACAGCAGCACAGGTCTTGCTGGTAAATCTAGTTTCTGAAAGGGATGAATGAATAGGCCCCTGAGGCTGCTTCACTGTGTGCTGACCCTGAGCACAAGCACATCCTGGGCAGTGAGCCAGGCATCAGCAGAATTGGGGGGCCAGCATGTGGCCTGGGGGGGGGGGGAGGGCTTGCACTGGAGGTGTGTTAGCTCAGGGCTTTCAATACACAGGGAGCAATACAGAAACCTGGAGGTGTGAGTGCAGCAACCCCAACCTCCACACTCCCTCCCTCAACCACAGGACAATGCAGCTCCGGAGAGATCAAGGTGAAGCAAGCCCCAATGCCCTCTGTGCCCTGTACTCACTTGCCAGTGCCTTTCTCCGGGGAGAAGGACCCTCAGGAATGGGCTCCTGAGCCAGCTGAAGCGACCTGCAGTCGCAACCACAGTGACACCCACAGCCCTTGCTCTGTCCCATCCAAGACACAGAAGGCTGGCTTTCTACTTGGGGGGGGAAATACATTTTAAAGGAAAGATGGAAGTTGTCTAAATCCACAGTGCAAATCATTAAACATTGGAAATTCATTAAACTTTTTGGTTAAAATAGTGGAATTATATCCAACCCTATTTTACTAGAACTGCTTTTTCTGAAGGAACAGGGATGAGTGATTCTTAACTCTGTTCCACATCTCAGATTAGTAAACCATGTCACAACCAATATACAGCAATATTTTTCAAGTAAAATAAATGCACTTTTAGCTTCTCAATTTCTAACAACGTGAACTTAAGTGGCGTTATTAATTCAGGGTAATGAGTGACAGCATTTGTGCATCACTGTCATTAGCAATCAAGACATACCTGCTTACCTGTTTTCAGAGTGAGCGTGAGCCCTGCTCTTCCCCCTCCTCCCCCAACACTGCCTTGGGCTCAGGAGCGAGTCAGAAGGCAGTGCAGCCCCAGCAGTTAGTATGGTTACAGCTCTATGGCTTGTCTGGGAATGCTGGTGGCCTCATCTTGTAAGGTGTTTGATTTTGCTGGCTTATGCACACAGGGTGAGTGAGCTGTAACAGCATGGTCCCCTCCCTGTTTAACAAATTAAAAGCAAGCACACGTTTTCAACTGCAATGAAGTTGAGAGGCATGGAACCTGGTGCTCATCGCATTGCAGCAAGTCTGCTCAGTTCCTTGCAATCTGCTTTCTCAGCGGTGAGTTAAGGTGTCTCGGATCTTACCTGCTGTGTCAGAGGTAGTATTTCTACAGAAACAAGCAAAGTTAGCAAGCGTGGGGACAGGCATGCTCAGAACTTCACAGGTCCTGCCACCCTGCCAATGAAGGACAAGGTTCCAAGTTGTTCTGAAGCATGATTTGTACAACCTCATCATCTGTGATCAAAGAAAAAGGCAATACTTGGATTTGGATTAAAAACACTTTGTATAGTGTGTTGCTTTTATTAGGTGGTTACACCAGAAGGTGTGATGGAAGATACAGGCATGTGGGAGGTCAAGCTGCCTGAGCATTTGGCCAGTGGCCCCCGGGCGATTGGTACAGTAGCACGAGAGCCCTCATCAGATGGCAGGAGGACGAGAGAGTGATATGGGACAGGTTTTCTGTTGGGTGTTCATTTTTTGGTCTATAAACTGCAAAGGACGGCTCAGATTTAAATAAATACATTTATTGTAATGGCCTTTATTGAGCTCTGTCCATCAGTCTGCACCGACCAAGTTCTTTGCTTGTGCAGCGACCCCCCACAGCCTCCCTGGCTGTGTGTATGCAGGCTCCAGTCTAGGAAGGGAACAGGGCGTGCACCCTGCGATCCACGGAGAGGACACCTCTTCCACAACAGAAACCACAGGCTTAGCTTTGCAGGATGAGATGCGTTCTCACACTTCCTAGTTGACTTTGTCCTGGAATATATACAGGTTATTGGTGGCAGCCACAGCAATAATGTTGTCGTTGGGGTGCCAAGCCGTGTGCAGAATCTTCTTATTGAAGTCCAGACTATCCACACTGATCTCGTCCTTCTTCCTCTTCCCGCCTGGACACACTCTCCGAGGCTTCAAACTGGCTCGGGGCTTGCTGTTCTCTCTGGAAGCTTCCAGGGTCACGTCCCTCCTCGTGTTTCTGTCAAACATCCTGAAGAAGTTGTTGTAGGACCCTGTCATGATCGCACTGTTCAAACAGAGAGAGAAGCACGTGTAAGCCAGCAGGCACTTGATGCCCCGCCATAGCGCTAAACCCAGCAAAAGACAAGCCATGTGGTCACTGGTACTCCTGTACTACATAACAGGACAATTCTTAGAAACAAGACATGAAAAGTAATCATGATCAGGAGAGAAATGCAGTGAGAATTTCTTACTGAACTTTATATAAAACACTTTCATAAAGTCATGTCAGTAAAAACAAATATTACAGAACAAAAATGTAATGGATTCATATTTTTTATTACATTAATACATTTTTAAAAACGGTAAAAAGAACCCTACTACATATCATCTGTCCTAGTGATGAATAACAGTGTAATTTATTTCCAAGGCTTAACTTCTGTATTGTATCAGTGATTCGAAGTTGATATCCATGTTCATATTCAATAGACATTTGTCTGGCTTGGCACAATAGCTTCATTCACAGTTGATCAAAGAATGTGTTTTTAATTCATTAATTTCAAAAATATTTTTTTACAAGAGAAAGTCATTGGGAGGAGAGTGGGAGAAATTTAAACCTCATTCACAATCAATTCCAGATGTTGCAATACTATTTCTTCAGGATTAATTCTAATAGCTTTCAGTAAATCATCATCATTATAATACATATTTATTATATTGGTTAAAACTTCCAGTCTTTTTCAAGAAAAACGGCGAAACGACAGTGACAGTTGCCATGACTTCAGCCCTGGCTTCAGAAGGTGTCCAGTTCTGGATGAGATGTGTTCAGACAACGCCGCTGATTTCTCCCAGCAGGACACGACCAGAATCCTGGCCATTTCTGCAGTCTTCCTCCTCCAACACCCACGTCGTCCTGTCTCCTCACTGCATGAGGA